ATAACAGATGTCAGATACTGGAAGTGTGCCTACACACCTTCTGACTAAAGTAAAAAGGGAACCTGAGGGACACAGATACTCACCTTGTAATCCTTGATTTCCTCCATCAGGATCTCATCACAGTTGGGAACCATGTCAGGCTTCTTTGTGGTCTCCAGCTTCCTGCGCAACCTAGAAATATCTTCCTACATAAAAACAGGAGACCAAGTGAAGGAGCAATACATTCTCTGTCAGCTTCTTCAGGGACCAAAGAGAATGCACACCTGGCTAAGTCACGCCACCTGTACTTTCATCCCCTATAATCCAAGAGACAACATGATCATGTGATGACACAAGTATTGTCAGTTATCAGGGGACAAAATCTGAAAGAGCAAAGACCTGATGAAGCCAAAATCAAAGTGAAACTGGACACCAAAAGCAGTTCAATTGAAACCCTCTGCAAGCTCAATGTACAAGAAGCACACCAAAGGACACAGATCTTGAAGGATTGTGCACAGGATATATACCTGAGCCCTTTTGAAGTTGAACATCTCTTTCTCTCTAGTTACTCTGTTTTCCACAATCTCCTCCTGGAAATCATGTAACTTCTTCTGAGCCAGCTCTAGCTGGGCCTTCAGATCATCTGCAAGCTGGGCTGCATCCATGGCCTGAGAAAGAAAACCAGTATATAAGGACCAAACATAGATCAGCTCCAGTGATTTCTAGTCCCTTGTTATTATCTTATTATCAACAAATTCTAATAATTTAGCTTCTAGATTCCTTTGGGCAGAGCCAGACCTTGGCACACTGCAAAGCACATCACTGAGAAAAACACTAATGATCATCCAAATCCCTTCTTAATGTATTTTCAGCCTTCCAGCTTCCACATTTTCTCTATTAAAAGTGTTCAGAGGCAGTTCTGTAGCTGAACTAGACAGAACTGCAAGATACCTATTTCTAACAATCTTCTCTCTTCTCTAGCTCTCTTCTAACTTTATAACTAAATGCCGTAATACCACAAATTGTCATATTAAGCACAGGTGACTGTTGAATTCTCCCCAGCTCCTCTTCACAGTGATATTCCTGCTTTCCTTTCTGCCTGTTTTAATGTAATTTCTGCATTTCTATTAAAACTTATCAACAAAGGCAGCATCAGCTATAAGACTTATTTCACTGGTAACACACCTACTTCACTGATCTTAGGCATTTGTTGAAAGTGTTCGCATTTCCCAGCTGTATTTCCTTTTGCTTATCCCATCCTGGCTACAAAAGCTTTGACCCCAGTTAACTTCATCTGGCTGCTGTCTCTTTCTTTATCATAGGTTACACAGCAAAATGTATGACCTGCTTCTCCTTATCAAAGCAAAACATCAGTCTCCAGTACTTGAGTCATAACTCTCTCCAGGACTCCTCAGCCTTCTGATACACTCATTCAAAACCAGGGAATACCAGGTTCTGTAATGCCAGTGAGAACTCAGAGCCTCCCATGCCTCCCACAGGGCAGCAGCTCCACCCCACAACCCAAGAGGAGACGAAGGCATCACTCACCTTGCGTTTGTTCATCTCCAGGGCCTGTGTTCGCAGACCCAGCTCCTTCTCTCCTGTTCCAATGCTGCTCTGCAGTAAGTGCTCCTTCTCCTCCAGCTTACGTACAACCTGCAGCTG